CTATCGAAGGCACTGCATTGGCAGCTTGGATGTTCAAATGTTTTTCTTTACTCCGTGAGCCACAGTCCATTAGAGAACAACACAGTGGACATAATTTTCAAACATACCACATGGAAGATGATTAGTAGAGAGGGCCAGACGGGCAGTGCCGTGGCCAAATGAGGATGGTGATTTGGAATCTGGTGGAGTCCAGGCGACGTGGGTGGACAGAATGGAAAGCCCTCCAGAAGCATGCACAGAGAGCATGAGTCGCACAAGACCGTGGGTGGAAGTGTGTGGGTCCAGGGGAGATTTTCAGGGCTTTCCCATGAGAGCACAGGCCCTCTGTGGGGCAGACACGAGAGGGGAGCCTCCAGACCTCTGCTTTACTGCTTCTCAAGTCACCGGAGACCTGGAGTCTCACATCAGCCCAGTGGCCGGCAGTTGTGCTGCGTCACTAGTGCAGGTTTTCAGAATCACCAGGAGGAAAGGAAGCATAGAGGACTCCACGTCCATGGAGCAGAACGAATCACGATTAAGCTTCTCCTCCTGAATGTGCCTGGGAATCACCAAGGCCCCCTTTCATCTCGATTCAGGGAAACAAAAAGGAGAGGCTCCCCCTTCTGAAGGGGCATGAGGCGAGATGTATTTGTCATTGGATTGGACATGCTTCTTCCTTGTTTTACCTGACAGCTGAGTGAGCTGCTCCACATTCCGCCCGGGCCTCCCGCCAGTGTGAGTACCCAGTGGAAGCAGCTGTGTGCACCACGCCCCCAGGACTGGCAGCAGGTGAAGCAGCCCTGCCAGCCTCCACCCCAGGAATAGTGCGGCCCCAAAACCAAGGAACCCTGCCAACCCACCATCCCCGAGCCATGTCCCCCAGCAGTGACTCCAGCACCAGTCCTGCAGAAGACCAAGCAGAAATGAGGGGGGTCTCAGCCATGTGCTCCAGGAGCTGAGCACCGGGTCTGAATACCATCTTCCCTTCTGCTGCATAGGCCTGTGCCTTCACTGTGCAGACCTGTGCCTTCTCTGCATAGGCCTTGTGATCAGTATGTTCTCACGCTGAGTCGTAGCCTCCTTATTTGCATCCTAAGCATATGGCTGTAAGGCTCTCCTTTATTACTCAGAAGAGCCTCTAAATCACACAGAAGGCCTTAGCTTTGCCAGGCCTTCAATGCTCAGGGTTCACCTGAAGAGGCAATCTGCATGGGAAGAATGCGTTTTTTATGCTCTGCCCCCATTATACACTTTAATCCCTCCCTTGGCTATTTGTGTCATTGGCTAAATCGGCCTTTTCCTGGTTCCATCTTGAGTAGGACCTGTAGACAGAGAAGTTGGTGGTAGACATCACCTGTCTGATCCTGGAGCCATGTTCTTCCACGTGTGTGTGTGTGGTAAATAACACTTAGGGGCACCCTTAGAATGGCAATAGGCACTTGCAGTGGACTAAAGGCCATCTCTGTGGGTAGTCACCCCACAGCAGGTCTCTTCTGCCTCTGGACTCTCCATGCCCGCATCCCATGGTGCCTTCTCCAAGCCACCTGCTACTGAGTACCTGCCACTGAGTCTCCTGTTCATACCAGAAAATTTCACTCCTACATACATGAACTTCTGTTCTGGTTTTCTTCACTCATTTTACCACTCAGATACCCAACATACACAAACACATACTCCTAAGGAGACGTGCTTACTGTAAATGGCCACACACTCACACTACCACCCACAGAGGTCCCACCATCCTAGCTCAGGCCATGCTTTTTCCAGGGGTCCACTGTGTGCAGGAGGGCCATGCCTCCCCTTATGGAGTTCTTGTTCTCTAGGGACACAGCATTCTCGTCCATCACGTGCAAATACATATGCAACCACACATATACAGTACACTTCCAACAGTACCTCTCCCAAGACAACCCACAGAAACCTGTTTACCAAGAGACCAGGGAAAGGTGGGTGGTAAGTGGAGAGACAAACAGGGATACATGACCCTCGTGAGGTGACTAATCAGCCACAGACTGGCAGTAAGTTCCGTGAACCATAAAATGCCAGCAGTAAGGGAGGTATGTAGCACCTAGTACAGCCCCTGCCTGTCAAAATAAAAAAAATTGATGTCCCAGAAGGAAGATGATTAACTAAGATTAACCAGCAACAGTTTCTGAACAACACCCAGAGCCCAGTTCTCCAGATTTCCAGCTCCTCACCCTATCCTACAGCCTAGTCTTGATTAAAAGTATGACCAGCAGGTTTGCAGTCCTCTCCAGCGGGCCTGGGGCATTAGGGACTTTTTTTAAAAATCAGTGAGGCCAACAATAAATTTCAGAAGGGCTACAGAGGTCACTGGGGAGTGAACCCCATTTCTTGACAAGCTAGATGATCCATAACCTCAAGCAGATGTGAGGCAGGTGACAGGTAGCATCTGAGTGATGCACAAGTGTTCCAGAAAGAGATGACAGGAGTGAGAGTTATTTAGAAAGGTAAGACTGGAACTGTCCTGCAGGTCATGACAGGGTGGCAGGGAAGTCCTGCCAAGTGGCAGGAGAGAGTGATGTCACTCAAGCCCATAAGATAAGCCTTTCAGGCAACTTCCTGTCACTGCTGAATTCACTGGCCAAGTGTCCAGAGACAACTCCAGGGCCACTCACAGTCCAACAGCTGATTCTGAAGGGGACATGGGCTCTCCAATGCCTGGCTTTTATGAACACAGCTTGTGCAGCTTATGAAAAAGCTGGCAACGAAGAATCAAAAGGTTTAAAGACCCACCTGACTCTTGAGCCACCAATCCTATTCCTAAAATTTATTTGTAGGAATGATTCATGCATGTACACAAAGATTTCATATGCCAGGATATTCACTTCAGCATCATATCTTACAGCAAATCGTTGATAACAACTTAACGTGCATAACAGTAGATAACAGCTCAATGACTATGTGGCATTTGTGTATGGGGATCATACACTAGTTGCTTTACAGAATGTTACAGAAGCATGGTTACTCTTACTGGAAAATGTTTAGATTATATTAATGGAAAAGCATCCCCCAAACAATATGAACCAAAAAAGGCATCTCTTAATGATGCATGCATGTGTGTGGGCTTATAGAAAAAAGAATCCTTATACTAAAGACAGTTTAAAATAACTGCGGTTATTTCTGGCTGCTTATATGTTGTATTCATTTTCCTTACTTAAATAGCTTTGTTTCTCCACATTTTACATTATATAATGTTATTTGATGCCTTTTAAAACTTTTTATACTGTTATTTAAGGATCAGAAGTCAGTGAAGATGTTGCTGACTAAAGGAAAATGTATGACCCGCCCATCCGGAACATTCCTGAGGCCTGCAGCAGGCCCTACGCGCAGCACAGTGGCGGGGTCCCTGCATCCTCCGACTGGCCCACACCGCCCAGGCTCAATTCTTAGTCCTCTGGAGGGGCCCGGACGCTCCACCACCCACTCACACCCAGAGCCCAGGGCCCAGTCCCGCCCAGGGGCTCACAGAGGATGCCAGACGGCTAAGCTCGGAGTTTTCCCCTTCTTGTCTCCGCCCCCTCGGCTCCTCTCCAGCTCTGGGACCAGGCAAAACTGACCCCAGGGGCTGGCGTTTAGAGAACAGGTACTGTTTCTGTAAGGAACATAAAGCCCTAATGTGCCCTAATTTGGCAAACTCGGGCCCACCAACCGTTCACTCGCCAGGTAAAGAAACACCCATTTCGCTTTATCCTCATAGCTCTTCCTTGGTTTCTACACCTTGACTTTATGTCCTCCTCCTGGGACCAGAACACGGTAATTCCTAAAAAAAATATTCTTTCTGATTCAGATAGAAGGTGCTTACATATTTCTGACTCAAGACAGTCCCAGGGTGGGTCTTGGGTACCCACCTTTCTTATCTATTCTTTGCCAGCCCCCAGCCCAGCCTAATTTTCTTGATTCTCTCCTCTTTCCACCAGTTCTCTCTGTGCTCTGAATTTAGCACCCACTCCCCACCCTGCCACTCCACACTTCCCCGAAGCCCAGTGGCTGGGCTTGGGGACCTCATGTGGCCCCACTTGTAGGCACTGCTGTCAGGCGTGCGGCAGCCTACGCTAACCTGCCCTGTGCTCCCATCACACCCGACCTCTCTACACCGTGAGCACAGGAGGGCAGAAGCCCTCTCTGCCAGCCTGCCACCTACCAAATGGTAGCCTGTCTAGTGTCTGTGCAGATACGAGTTCTCTATACCTTCACCAAGCGATGGCACGCTTGGATTTGAGGGGAGTGCTCTGAACCCCACGCACTGAACCCAGATCACTCCTGTCCTCTGGTAAGGCCGTGGGCCTGACCCGATCCCTAGCTCCATTCGGCTGATAGTCATGAAATATGCCCATTTTATGCTAAGTTACAATAGTTACCTGGTATGTCCCAGGCACACACCGCAAATCCACACAGATGCCAGGTGTGTTCCCAGCCCAGGCACGGATTGCTAAAGGAATTCCACAGATATGAACCCTTCTGCTAGTCTGTTTGCCAGGAAGTCTGTTATTTTCATATTTATAAGGATCACATGCTTGTTTGATTGCCTTCCTAGCAGTATTCCTAGGGTGGCCTCCCAGCCGAACTCCGATCCCACAGACGCGGGGTCTCAGAAACGGCCCTGGGGCGTCCGGAGGGGGGCCGCGCTGCGAACCCTTAGACCGCTGGGCTGCGGCAGCCGCGAGCGCCGGGGGACCTCGGGCGCCCTCCTTGATGACGCGCGTCCAGGGGCCCGGCCCCGCCCGCGCCTGGGAGGCGGAGCGAGGAAGCCCCGCCCCTTCCGGCCCGCCCCCGCCGCGCCGGGCGGAGGACGCCGGCGGACTCGACGAGCGGAAGCGGCTCTGCGACCGAGCGGCCGCGCCGGGCCCCGCCTGCCGGCTTCCTGCGCGTCCCCGCCGCCGTCCCGGCGTGGCCCCCGGGCTCCCGCAGATTCAGGTACGGGCGACGGCCTCGCCCTGACGGGAGGGGCAGAGTGGGGCGGCTGCGGGGAGGCGAGCGGCTGAGAGGCCTGGGGAGGCGCGGCCGAAGGCGGGCGGGCTCCCGGCGGACCGGCCGGCCAGGGCGCAGGGACGGCCGCCTCGGCATCTGCGGCCGCCGGGCCCGCGTCCAGCTCTCCGTGCGCGGAACTTCGTGGGGGCCTTGGCTTTGCCTAAAGCGAAAGGAAGCAGCAGGGGAGAAGGTCACCGCCCGCGAAGCCGCTGACTGGAGAAGCGGCTGCCTCTTCATAAAAACCGCCCGAAACCAGCCCGCGCCGCGGGGACGGCGGGGGACGGCGGCGGTGGCCTGTGCGGCAGCGCCTGGAGCGGGCTCCGCACGGCCGCGGGGCGCAAGCGCGAGGCCCCCCGCCGGGGACCGTGTGCGTTGCTGTTGTGCGCGTGGCTGGCGTCTGCGGGGCGCTGTGCACATGGCCTTTTCTGGTGTCACACTGGCTTCTCACTTCCTGAGGCAGATCCTTGGATTCTGGGACCTGGGTATGGGTTTGCTCATCATTAAACTTGTGGGTTTTCTGCGTATTCCATCAGGATGTTAGGTAAGGCTGCGTGTTCCTTGTTTTGGGACGTTGAGAGCCCCCCTTGTGGCGTCTAAAGTACAAGTACAGGGATATTGAAAAGCTCACGTGCCCTAGTCGCTTCCTTCCTCCTCAGTTTTTCCGTGCATTCTGCAGCATTTCTGCGTGAATGAATCATTCTAAAATCAAAGTAGGAGGAATAAAATGGGCCAGATGTCTGCAACAGAAATGTTGTGGAATGAAGAACTCTACAGCTGTCACTTAGGTGGCAATAACCTGGTTTTCCTTGCAAGTGAAGTTTCAGGTTTGACAGCATTTCTTATCAGAGAAAATGTGTCAATTTGTTCTGATGGGAAACCAACTTAAAATATTACTTGTATCTGGTTTATGAAACTGGACTTGGCTTATTTATTTTTTTAGTGCGTAATATTAACCAAACTGATGTCTGATTATACTGAAAAATTTTTAGAGGTGTTTCTTATGGAAGGAGAGAGAGGGCTGCTGGGTGATTACAAGGGAGGTGGTTTTTCTAGAACTGAACCTGTCACCTGATAGACAACTGATTGAATACATATTAAAACTGCATGTTAATATGCACAGCCATTGATTAATTTAGGCCTCTGTTTCTGCTATTTCAGTACAGTGACAAACTCTACCAGTTACTTATCTTTACTGTGCCTTGCTTTTCCCTTGTTCCTTAGTGCCTACTTCAAAGGACTGTTGGAAAGAATAAAAGAAAAGCAGTGTAAATCATTAGGCACCATACCTAGGACATAGTAAAATGTCTAGTGCTCCTTAGCTATTCTCATTATTCATCTGCCTTCTAGTCTAAGATACTGAAAACTCAATAGTTGCATATGTCAGCTTTTTCTCAAGGAAATTTTAGTATGTTGCATACTCAAGCATTTTCCTGGAAAAATCACAAAGCATATTAGCATATAAAAAGCTGTGAGACTTTCTGTAGTCAGTAAAAAAAAAAGGCACAAAAACTGGCTTTGTTTAACCCAGTGCTTACCAAATATCCCTTTTCTTGGATCTGGTGCTGTGGAGCAGGGTATCCAGCTTACAGAATGTTTTTGCATACACTAGCCGATTTGACCATCCCAACTCCCTGCAGAAGCCTAGAAATCACTATTTTACAGATAAGGAAACTGAATCATTTTTTTAAGCAACTAACTCAAAGTGAGACAACTAGTTTTTGCCAGTCTTCTAAGTGCAAGTGAAAATCCTGAAGCATTTAATGTCTCACTTTCTCCTATTTTTCCCCGTTCCTGTACAGTCCACTCTTTAATTTTATAAAAATGTTAAGTCACTAATCTCCTCCATATGTTCTCTTAAAGTTACATCCATTTTATCATGCTTTTAACTGTTTCTTACGTATTAAGGCCAAGGATGGAGGCCGGGGTCCCAGGAGTGGCAAGTGAGAAGGGGAGTTGCCATCAGCCACGCAGGAGGCCCCGTCCTGTAGGACCTTGTACACTGTTTTAAGTACCTTAGGTTTTACCCAGAACTCTCAAATCTGATGAAATTTATTTTCCCTTTAAGGTGGTGAATACTTATTCTGCTGGGAAGTAGAAGAGTAAGAAATATGCCTCCCAAGTTCAAGCGCCACCTAAATGACGATGATGTCACTGGTTCTGTGAAAAGTGAAAGGGTAAGTGCGGAATCTAAAGCTTTAAAAAAGAAAGATTCAAATTGTTTTAATTCCCTTTGGAAGTCATTTGTTTTAGAAAAGTCTAAAGTTTATGGTTATGTTCTAATCCCATTTGTTTTCTTTATAGTGTACATTAAAAACTATATGTTACTTAGATTGGTGGCTCAACTACTTCATTATTGATCTGATTATACTCACAGCTTCTTTCTAGTCTTTCAAAGGGAATTTTACACAAATGCACATCTTGTTCAGAATTCTTGGAACCAAATGTAGGAATTCAGAGTTTTTCAGGTTTTAGAAAGGCAGTAAGTGCATGTCACTCAACAGCCTTTTAGGGATCTAGATCAGCACCTCCAAATGTGTTAATATTTTCTCAGTGAAATGTCTGATTATTCCAAGTGTATAAATAAAGTGTATAAATAAATTAACTAACATCAGTTTAAGTCAGGTATTTCTCCAAATGAGTTTTGGCTCCAAACTTACAAAACCTCTTGATTTTCATAACTTTTTAAGATTTTGGAATTACAGATAAGGGATTCTGGTCTTGTTATTGTCTCAGAGTGCAGAGTAGCTTTTACATAATGTTCAATTTCTAGTTTATTCCAGAACATTTTATGCAGATATATATAAAACTAGAAATTATGTGGCATTTTGGATTTTGATATGAATATTGTAGATAGGTTACGTTTAGAATAAGCACTCAATATTTACTGAGTGGAGGAATTAGTGTAAATCTTATCCAGGAACTTGAAGCTCCCCTTTACTTCCTGACTTCTTGCCATTCTTTCATTTATTAAGTCAGCAAATTTACTGACTACCTACTATGTGCTAGGTATTGTGCTAAAAACTGGAGAGCATGGTCTCTGTCCTCATAGAGCTTACAGTGTACTTGATTTCCTTTTACATGCTACTTTTGTATACAACCTCAGAGCCTTCTATTATCCACTCTGTCCAACATCTTAGGATGTAGAAGTACTTTTTAGTACAGTACAGGAGACATTTATCTTCCCCTTATTCTAGTGCTACAATTTTTTGTTTGTTTGTTTAAAGAAGAGTAGAACCCCCCAATAAACTAATTGCCAACAAGCTTTTTAAAAGAAGCTTTACATGTATACTTAAGAATATAAAATATTCAGTTCCACTACTAAGATTGCAGCTTTGGCACTTTCTCTTTACATTGTGGGTTGATTACTCCCACAATTTACTGTCAAAAAAAGGATATTGGGTACCAGAATTGAACACAATTGGCTGTTTAGGTAGAGACCTCCTTCTGAATGTTTATCAGATAGTGAAATTCGATAAGTTATTGGTTCTAATAATCTATAAATTACTTTTAAAAACTTTAAAAAGTTTTGTCTTTGTTTCCTATTACTTTTTTTTTTCTTTTTGGTAACCATATTGTTAACATATTCAGTAACAGTATTTTGATATTGAGATATAATTCACATACCATACAGTTCACTCATGAAGTGTACAATTCAGTGGGTTTAGTATATTCACAGAATTGTGCAATTATCAGCAGTCAATTTTAGGACCTTTTCATCATTGCAAAAAGAAACCCTATACCTTTTAGCAGTGATCCCCCATTCTTCTCATCTCCTCCGTCCTAGACAACTGAATATCTATGGATTTGTCTCTTCTGGACATTGTATATAAATGCAATCATGCAATATGTTGTCTTTTGTAACTGGCTTCTTTAGCTTACCATAATGTTTTGAAAGTTCATCCATATTATGATAGTATATATCAATACTTCATGCCTTTTAATGGCTGAATAATACTCCATTAATGAATATACTGTTTTATTTATCCATTCATCAGTGATGGGCATTTGGAGTTATTTTGAATACTAGTTGCTTTTTGAATAGCACTTCTTGCTGTTGGCTTTTTGACTATTTGGCTAGCATGAATACCACCACTGTGAACATTCGCGTTTAAGTTTTCATTTCTCTTTCAATTCCACCTCGGAATGGAATTGCTGGGTATTATAGTAACTCTGTTCAATTTTTGAAGAATTGCCGAACTTTTCCAAAGTGGCTATACAATTTTTAAATTCCCACCAGCAGCGTATGGGGGTTACAGTTTCTCTCCCCACTTGTTATTATCTGCCTAATTGGTGTGAAATGGTATTCCTTTTTTGATATTGTAGCCCTAGCACTGCTATTTGTTCGATGAATGGATATAGACATTGGCTTTTATGTGTGTTTCTCACTGTACAACTATCATAAACACTTAATCTTTATATCATTCTCTAAGGCAAATAAACTATGGTAAATGTAATCATTTTATGTTACTAGCTAGAATAGCATTTAATAAATATTTTTTGAAAGAATTAATGCATTTCCCTGAATATTATCGACTTTGACCATGCTTTCATGTAGTCAGTGGCTATTTCTTCTTCGACTGGAATTGCCTGTTCCTCCTCTGATGATTTTTCTATAATGTGCCTTTTTCTCACTGGTTTGTCAGAGCTCTTTATATAATACAGATATCAGACCTTTGCTCTGAAAGTATGTTGCAGATTTTTTTTCCCAAACTGTTACTTGCCATTTAACTTTGTTTATGGTGTCTGTGTTCTTCATATTTAAAAATTTTATGTAATCAGATCCTTGAATCTTCCTTTTAAGCTTCTGGATTGTATGTTGCTTAGGAATGACTTAGCCATCTTAAGAGTCACTTATTTCATGTATTTTAATCTTTGTGACTTCGTAAATGAATTTACCCTACAGGTTTTGTTCTGTGATGTTGCCTGTGTCATTTCTTTCTCATTCTTAATTGCAGTGAAGTTGATATAAAATATCACTGGTTTCAGATGTCTACAGCCTAGTGACTGGATGGTTGTGTACATTACTAGGTACCTGCCTCAGTAGTCATGGTTATCCCATTATCATACCAAGATATTACAGTATTACTGGTTGAATTCTCTATGTTGTACTTCCATTCCTATGTCTAACTTGTTTAATAGTTTGCATTTTGTACCTCTTTATTTCCTTCCCTAATTTCACCCGTTGTAACCAACAGTCTGTTGTCTTTATTTGTGGGTCTGTTTCTTTTTTGCTTATTTTTAGATTCCACATGTAAGTGAAATCATGTGGTATTTGTCTTTCTCTGCCTGATTTATTTCACTTAGCATGATACTCTCCATCCATGTCATCGCAAATGGCAGGGTTTCTTTCTGTTTTATGGCTGAGTGACATTCCATTGTGTACATGTACTGCGTCTTCATCCATTCATCTGTCAGTGGGCACTTTCATTGCTTCTGTATTTTTCTTACTATAAATAATGTTGCAGTGAACATAGGGTGTACATATATTTTCAAATTAGTGATTTTGTTTTCTTTGGGTAAATTCCTAGAAGTGGAATTACTGAGTCATATGGTATTTGGTATTTCTATTTTCAAGTTTTTCTTTTGGTGGGAGGGGTGGGGGGAACCTCCATACTGCTTTCCACAGTGGCTGCACCAATTGACCTTCCCACCAGCAGTGTAGGAGGGTCCCTTTTTCTTCACTTCCTCATCAACACTTGTTATTTTCTGCCTTGGACACTGGCCATTCTTACTGGTGTGAGACGATATCTCATTATAATTCCGACTTTCGTGTCCCTGATGATCAGCCACGTGGAACGTCCTTTCATGTGCCTGTCGGCAGTCTGTCTGTCTTCTTTGGGGAAATGTCTGTGCAGGTCCTCCGCCCGTTCTTTAATCGAGTGATTTGGGTTTTTCTTGTGTTGAGATGTATGAGTTCCTTACATATTTTTTGGGTATTAGCCCCTTGTGGGATGTATCATTTGCAAATATTTTCTCCCACACTGTAGGTTGCCTTTTTGTTTGGTCGAGGGTTGTCATTTATTTCTAGTCAATTAAACTTCTGTTTACATTTGAATATGTTAACTAGAAGAGTGTTTTAAAATTTCCTTTTGTCACTTGATTTCCATTGCATTGTACCCAGAGAACATGACCTTTCTAATTTCTAGTTTTGGGAATTTATTAAAATTCTTTTGAGGCTTATCTCTTTCTTGGATGTTTGAAAATAAGATTTACCAAAGACAAAAGTTCTAGACTATTTTTTTCTTCTTAGTTTCTCCCTCTCTGAAGGGTACGTTAAATAAATGATTTTGCATGAATCCGTTTCTTCTTATAATTTAAGCAGCTTTTGCTGTATATGTTTTGAGGCTGTATTTTTATGTATAAACATTTACTGCTGTTAAATGTTCTTGGTGGATAGTACGTTTCATCGTTGTAAAATCTTATTTGATTATTTAATGCTTTTCTAAAATTCTGTATATTAATATTGCTAACTCTAACATTCTTGTTAGAATTTGCTAATGTATCTTTTCTATCTCTTTTTTCATGCTTTATTTGACATTTGTTTTAGGTGAATTTCTTATAAACAGGTATTGGCTGGAGTTTTTTGAACTCTGGTCATGTATAGTTTTTGTTCTAATAGGAGCGTCCAAGCCATTCACCTTCGTTATGGTAACTAATGTACTTAGGCTTTTTCTGCTGGCAGTGAATGCTTTTCACCCTGTTTTTGGTTGGCTTTTTGTTATCATTTGTATTAAATTTCAATTTTTGAGAGCAATTTTCCATGACAACCTGATTGCTTAGTCACCCTGTCACTTTCTATCCCATTGCTGTGTTAATTCTCTGTGTAGCATTTGTCACCAGATATTTTTCTGTGAGAGCTGAGACCTTGTCTGTCTTACCCAAAGCTGGTGCTCAGTACCTCAAACAGTACCTAGCACATAGAAGATGCTCATCTGTTAAATGAATATTGAATACATCCTGCTTTCATTTTCTTATACTTTGTGTATATATTATACATACATAACAATGTTATTCATTATATTTCTTATGTTTTCCCTCTTTTCCCCAGTTTCTTCTGCTAAATTATTTTTCTTCATCTTCTCTCTGCACTCAGCACCACAAGGCAGATTAAAAATGCCCCCCTTCCCCCTCTTTCCCTCCCTTTTTATTATTATCTCTATACTTAACAGTAGTATTCAGATCTGGGTTCACTCTTGGCCGCCAGCAGCAGTGCCCCCTCCACCCCAGCTGCCCCCTCCCCCCTCTGCTCTCCCAAGACGGACGTGTCACCGTGCTTTCCTTTCCTCGCTCTCCCTCCCACTCCCGGCTTCTGGTCTGTAGAAAAGCTGTAGGGGCTTTCAGAGTTGGGCCTCATGTTATATGTTCTCTTTTTCAGTATCTGTAAGTCACAGTTCACAGTTACATTGTCATTATCCACATACTTTGTTAGATTCATTGATAGTATCAACTTCTGTCTGATGATCTTTGTTCTAATTTAACTTTCTCTTTGGCTGGCAATTCCTTGAGTAATTTCCTGAGGAAAGGTTCCTGGGTGATATACGTTCTTGCTGCTGTAACAAATTCCACAAACTTAAAACAACACAGATTTATTGCCTTACATTTCTGGTGGCCAGCAGTCCAAAATGCGTCTTCCTGGGCTAAAATGGAGGCTCTAGCACAGCTGTGTCCTTCTGGAGGCCATGGGGGACAATCTGTTTCCTGGTCTTCCCAGCTTCTGGAGGTTCCTGCCCTCCTGGGCTCGTGCCCTTTCCTCCCTCTTGAAAGCCAGCAGTGTAACATCTTCCAGACTCTCTGTCTGGTGCTTCCCTCTTTTAAGAACTCTGATGGTTACATTGGGCCTGTATGAAAACTGCACATTTACCTTCCAATCTTGCAATCCCTGACTTAACTCAAGATCTGCAAAGTCCCTTTGCTGTGCAAGGCAGCACATTCACGGGTTTTGGAAACTAGGGCATGGATATCTTTGGAGACTTTTGGCTGCCTCCAAGTTGTTTGGGGAGAGGGTGAGACCATCATTCTAAGGAAAATAATTGCATTTATAAGGTGAAAGTATAAAGTTCTTGTTTGGAAGTTCAAATATGTGTAGAGGGCTGTGTGAACTGAGGAGCCAGAAGGTGGACTGTGCTGATGATTGAGCCCTTGTCTGTCCCCTCCAGACCTGCCTCTGTGCTAGACTTCTCTCTGAGGCTGGGGTTGGGCGCTGCCCTTACATTTCTCCTCTGCCACTTGGCTCCCTACTGAGTTCTGCCAACAGGGGCAGCCTGGAAGGCAGGAGGGCGGAGAAGGGCCTGGCTCCTCCCTGAGTGCCTGTGGCGTCTCACTCTCGCACCAGCCCCAGTGACATTTCTACCCTGGAGGCAGTCACAGGATTCTAGTACTATCAACATTTTCTTTGTGAAGTCTGCGTATGTGGTTCCGTATCTCTCAGCTTCCAGCGAAGCACATGCAGTCATTCTTCCTTCTGCATGGAAGCTGGGAGTCAAGAAACCTCACCGGAATGGGACTTGTTCCACCACTCCTCCCTGACAGTTTATAAGCCCTCGGAATCTGTAGACACAAGTCTTTCTTTTTTTCTTCACAGAGAAATCTTTTGGAAGATGATTCAGATGAAGAAGAGGACTTTTTTCTGTAAGTTTTTGGGTTTTCCTTTCAGCTTTATTGGGTTGTAGTTGACATGCAGTGAAATGCATAGAGAGCTTACAAGTTTTGATATATGTACTGTACAACTGTGAGATCATCACCAAACCCAAATAACGCACCGGCCATCACCTCAGATTTTCCTTATAGCCTGGTAATCTGTCACTCTGCCAGTCCCCAGGCCACCACTGATCTGCTTGCTATCACTATAGTTTGTATTTTCTAGACTTTGTTGTGAATGGAATCACTACTATGCCTCTGTTTTTACTGGCTTCATTCACTCTGCATAACTATTTTGAGTTTGGTCCATGCTGTCACTTGTATCAACGGTTTCCTTCTTTTTATTTCTGAGTAGTGGTCCATGTCTGCATTGGACTGCAATTCATTCACGCATTCACTTATTGATGGATGTTTGGGGTGTTTCTAGTTTTTAGCTATTATGATCAAAGCTGCTCTGTACACGTCATGTCCAGGTGTTTGTGTGCACATATGCTTTCACTGTTCTTGGCTCAGTACTTAGGAGTGGAATGGCTGATGCATGGTCACAGCTGTTTTCCTGCTGGTGCACCATTGGATCTTCCCGGCCTCATGTGAGAGATCGGGTTGCTCTGAATCTTCATCAGCACTGCATATGGCCATCTTTCAGATTTTGCCCTATGGGTGTGTAGTGGTGCCTCGTGACGGTTTCAATTTGCGTTTCCCTAATGACAGATTATGTCAGCTTCTTTTGTGCATATCCTCATAGCTTCTTTGACAAAGCACATGATAAAATCTTTTGCCTCATTCTAAATTTGTCTTAAGTTCTAAGAGATTTTTTAAATATATTAAAGACACAAGTCCTCTATCCTTCCCCATTGAATTTCCTTGGTGCTTTGTCAGAATTAAGTGGCAGAGCAGCCCTTTGTAGTTCCACGTAGAAAGGGCTGTCCTGTAGGCCTGGGCTTGCGTTTGCAAAATCATGGAAGACAGGTATGGTGTCAGGCGTTGTCTCTGGAGATTGGTGTGGAGGGGAATGCCTGAGAGGAAGGAAGCATTTACCTCCCACTTTGTTTCATGAAGTTTTTTGCTTAGGCTTTTTTCCCCAAGTAAAAACATTTTATAAGAAGTGAGTGACAGCCATATCCATGAAGCAGTGGACAAAAAAGAGCCTACAGGGTAGAAAGCAGGTCCAATAACAGGAAATAGTGTCATTTTGGCAAAGTCAGATGAAGGATAAGATTTCTCTAAAGTTACAAAGCTAATTTCCCACGGCACCAATTATGAGGACAAGCCTTAGACTAGAGCAATAGCTCCATGTCCAAAAGGAATTCAGTGTTGAGAAGTAGGCCCGGGGCTTGGTTAGTAAGTAAGCGCTCACCTGCTGGTGAGTTGGACCCTTTGCGAGAAGCGCTGACTCGGCAGGTTGGCAGCGTAGCCCTGAGACCGACATCCGGGCAGCGCTGTGTGTCTTCCAAGGGCCTGATGACAAACAGCACACTTGGTCAGAGCGCAGCTCCCACACTCTGCGGTCCTGCATGTGTGTTGCAAAGGAGACAAACCAAATAAAGTATTCTTGAAGTATTTAAAAAAACTAATCGACACCCGTGTTCAGAGCAGCGCTGCTCGCAACAGCCAGAGCGAGGAGGCAGAGCACTTGCCCGTCGGTGGGTGAGCGAGAAGCACAGTGCGGGCTGTGCGCCCAGTGGAGCGCCCTGCAGCCTTACACAGGAAGGCAGTTGGGACACTGTGACATGGATGCGCCTTTGAGCCATGATGCTCAGTGAAAGAAGCAGGTCACAAAAGGATGCATTCTGTGTGGTCCGCTCTGTGCGACACCCAGGGCAGACAGCGCTTCGAGGTGGTAGAGTATGGGGGCAGGGGCAGGAGGGAACGGGGAATTCACATGTAATTGGTACAGAACCTATTTTCTTTTGAGGTTTGTGGTTTATACCTTATTCTGTATCATCAGAAGAATGATAATCACTTAAAATACCTCAAAGTTTTGACTTAAAGAATATTAAAATGAATTGGTTAATAGGATATGACACTCGACTACAATAGAGAAGTAATAATTTGAGAAATACTGGTATTTTTGTAGACTCTTGGCATTTGCCTTTAGCTATGTTTGTAAGTTTAAGATGAGTTATCAAGAAACATAAATTTTTAGTGTTTTGAATGGAATGGATTTTTCTCTATAACCATCCCTGACAGCATTTCAGTATAGCCTGAATTCAAGGTGAACTGCATGTCTAGTGTTCCATAATTGGTCATAAAACTATTTGTAGTCACTGGTACTTTCTTACGGTATTTCAGAATTTAGTAAATAGAACAACCTGTGTATAACTATGAATTATATAAACCCTAATTTCTCTGAAAGTTGTAACCTTCAGAAGAATTAGCTTAATTGTGTCCAGCATTAAGTACTAACCAAGTATAGACATGAATACATACCATTCAGTTCCAGGATTGCTATTAAAATGTGCTTTCTTATGGTAAATGACTGAGGCATGTTTAGAATTCAGCTTGATGTGTGAGTGTGTCTTTTCTGTTTTCTTTAATTCTCTTGTTATTCATACGTACTTGGTACTTTGTTTTCAGAAGGGGACCATCTGGACCAAGATTTGGACCTAGAAATGATAAAATCAAGCAGTAAGTTCCTGAGATATTCAGTTGTTTAAATGATTATCATATCTCTGTGTGGACTGTGGTTTGGCAAATTACAAACTATGGGCCCAAAATGGCTGCTGCCTGTTTTTGTAAATAAAGTTTTATTGGAACACAGCCATGCCTTTTGTTTTCTTATTATCTGTGGCTGCTTTCAAACTTCTGCAGCAGATGTCAGTAGTTGTGACAGATGTCAAAGATCCTGTGGCCCACAAAATCCAAAATATCTATTATCTTTCTGGTCCTTTACAGAAGAAACTTGCTAATCCCTAATGTAGACCTAATATAACTACTGGGTTGTAAAAACTCAGTATTTCTTTTTATTTTCACAAAGCTACCTCTGAATTATAACAAAGGAAATGCAGTTCCTGGTTGTTGGTTTTTCTTAACTCGATTATCTTATATCAGATTCATTTGTTTACCATATCTCAAAGTCTATTTTGGTTTTGAATCTATAGATTCCCACTTTCAAAACAATAATAAAAGTAATATAATAGGTTTAGTTTTTTGAAGTATGATATCATTTTACTATATACTTCCAGAATTTTTTCATATCTTACAGTTTATCCTGATCCATATATTGATCTCAATTTTAAAACTAATTTTAGATTTAAAGACCTTGCTGTATATGTTGTTGATGGTATATGATGGATGATGCTGTACTGAATGTATCTAATGCCAGAAGGATGTGAGTCCTGACAAGGAGGGAGCTGTTAGGCAGCCCTGGAAACGGCCCAGGCTCTCAGGATCATGAAAGATAAACTGAATGGCCCAGGTTCAGGGCCTAAGGAGGAATAATCGTTGGCATATAGTGGGAAGGGTACTGTAATGGGGTATCAGATTTTTGGTGAGATACTTGGCCTTTAGCTGTAGGTGAAAGAAATATGTCCTCACTTAGCCTGATCCTAGGTAATGGATTCCAAAATACAGAACCCAGGTATTGTCAAATTGATTCGAGTACTAAATGGGATGTTTTCATTTTCTGTTGCTATTTTAACAAATCACCCTGAATTTAGCAGCCTAAAACTACACGTCATCTCGCCTTTTCCACGGGTTGGAAGTTCAGACGCTGCTGAAGTGGGCCTTCTGTGTGGCGTCTCCCAAGCCCGAAGCAGGGTGTTGGCAGGGCTGCCGTGTCCCTTGAAGCTCCTGACCAGGCTCAGGTGGTTGTTCAGAGTTCCTTTTCTTGCAGCTGTAGAATTCGTGGTGCTTTCTTCTTCGAGGCCAACAGTGGGGAGAGTCCCTGCCATTCCAGGTCTCTGGCTTGGCCAGTAAAGATACAGTGAGCAGATTCAGGCAGTTTATGATTTACGGAGATAGCAGCCAAAGTGCTAGTTTCCTGGGTTCTTGTCCTATACGCCAAAAATGACGATTCTAAACAAGGGGCCAGGTGGCTGGAATATGAGTCGGCGGACCGATTCAAGACTCAGCCAAGTGGCTTTATAGTCTGCAGATAGACCCTGCAGAAAGCCTCTAACATCATCAGAACCCGGGAGGTGATGGGAAACTGTCCAGGACAGCCTCCTAGAGGAGATTGGGAGGTGAGTGGGAGATGGCCTCACAAGCCACTCCTCTGTGTTGCGGGAGGATCACAGAGCATTCGAGGTCGCCAGCATGCTGTGCCAGGGCTGTTCCTCTGCAGCGAGCCAGAGGGACTCCTGGGTCCACCCGCATGGTCTTGTTTCTTATACTGAAGCAGCTGCCAGAGAAGCGGGCCCCACTGAGGACACATCTGTGTTTCTCCTGCCGGCATGCCTCATTTCCTGTTTGATCTGATACCTTCTGCAGAGGGAGCCTACTGTTGAGTATGGCCTGTTGAATCTTTTTGGTTATCATTTCCAGCTGAACCCCTGAAGCCACTGTCAACTGGGCAGAGCAGGCATCACAGCATACGTGTGGGTCAGCGAATGCCACGCGCGCACACGTAATTACATATATCTGCATATTTCTCGAGCATGAGCAGTCAGAGAATTTTATGGTAAGGGGTTGTCGAGTAGCTTAATGGTCTTTACTCTAGAGCTGGAGCCTTGCCAGACTCTGAGGTCTGAGAAGATGGTTCCGTCATCACACAGGCACGTTCGACCTTGTTGGCACGAACTCATGAGCATTCATTTACCCAGGCTGCGACTCAGGTGTGTCCCCATATCGCCCAGGACGGTGGCACATCACTTGCCCATAGACAGATCCTTGGCATTGGTTCATAGTGACCAAAATTGCACCCACTTACTTGAATCCGCGGCTGTGGATCGGCACCACTCTTGCTTTGTTTGAGATTCATTGGTACGTTCGTAACAGGTCAACCCCACAAGAAATACCCAACGTCACTTTGTAGGGAAGGTGTTTTGGGGAAAGATTTTAAATATTCACATGCCTACATAAAATTTTTGATTCTCTTTGGAATGTTTCCTTTGCCTTTATTAAATAATAGCATGATAAATGCCACTCAGTAAATTGTACACACTCTGCCAGGAGTAGGGAAGCTCGTAAGTCCTGGTCCTACCAGCTTAACGTAAGGCCCCCGGGAAGGTTCCGTGTGTGTAGTTAGAGAAGTACAGCCTTAACTTTTAGACTGCTTTTGTCAGCAGTATCTTGAAAGACCACAGGTGGGGTTGTTAACTTGAAAATAAATACTTTCTTTATAAAATGAGGGGTGTAGCGGAGCACTGACATGAAGCACATGTTCATGTGGTGGCAACTGTGCCAAATAAGTGTCTAAAAAACACTGTCACATGTGATTCTTACAAGTGAGAGATGATCATCATCTGTTCAAAGGTTGGAAGTGGCGAGTCTCAGAGACCTGGAAAGCCGCACCCAGGACGCGGCCTCGCAGGGCTCCAGACCCTGGAGTGTCAGGATAGAGTCCAGAGCACAGCCTCCCTGTCGATAAGCAGCGTGGAGGGTCTCAGGGATCCTGGTCCTGTCAGGCTCCAGGGACGATGCGAATCGGTGCTGAGGCGTCTTTGTTTTCTAGGTGTGTTCTCTTGTGTGTTGTTTTTTCTACCACATGACTCTTAACTGGAGATGATACGCATCTCCACTCCCTCCTTCACAAACTTGCTTTTCCTTTGAATTCTTAAATTTGTTTCAGTTAATGGCCATTGTCTACCACTCAGCTGGTCAAGTTATAAATCTAGAAGTTTTCTGACCTATTGTTACCCCGACTCCTTCACCCAAATCCAATTAGTCACTCGGTTCTTGAAGTTGCCCCTCCAATACATATATTCTCTTGGTCTAGAAATTTCCCACCATCTTCTTTACTCTGCCCAATTCACTCCTAACCTGTCCACACTCAGTATCAGGGTCTCGGTGCCATGCCTGGTCCAGGCTGAACTCATCCAGGCAGCATGACTGGTTCCGTGGGCCTCCTTCCATCCCAGCACTCAGCACGTGTGGCGTCATCATGGCTGCCAGACTGTTGTCTGATGACCTGGCCAAGAATTACCTGTCCTCAAGCAGCGTAACAACTTCTTCATAAATGTTTTTTTGAGTGAATGAAATATGTAATTGAGATCATAAGGTATTTGTTGAATGCCTCCTGGAAACCAGTGCCTGGAAAATAATAATAAATGAATGGGACAGTCTCTACTTCTAAGGTGTGTACAGTGTTACAGTGAGGGCTTCACCACATAAAACATGAGTAGAAGAAGTCAGTCTTCCAGCCACCATGAAAATGTAAAAGACCATGGGGAAGTATAAAAAATTATCCTTCATATCATGTTTAAGTAAGTAGATAATTTCTCTTTTCTTCTACGAAAGTCATATTGTGGGCATGAAAACGCCTGGAAATGTAGAAACACAATCATGAGGCTTTACATTGTTGCATAAGGACTGCACAGTAGCTGGAGTAAGGGTGTCACACCAGTGGAGGGCAGTGTATGAGCAGGAAGCAATAATAATTTATTAATCAGTAGAAATGAAAGCTTTGGGTGATTCCCATTAGCAATAGGGATCTTAGGACATGTTGTGCTCTAGGTTTAGGATGGGGTAGTGAGAATTGATCTGGAATTTTATGTATTCTGCTCCAGTTCGTCTTCCAGTATCCATGGGGTCTCTTGCTTGTAGGGATAATGGAACCATAATTATTTCTTCAGCTCTTTTGTTTTAAAATCAGATGTAGTACAGGTATGTTAACATCCATAATCGTTAGGGTCTGATCATACATAGATGTGTGCATCCTATCCGTTCCCACCCACTGCCTGCTTACTTTAGGCTATTATCGTCTCTTGCATATGATGGAAAATAACTGTGTGGCCAAGATTAGTCCTTGATGAACAGTAGCTCTGCTTTCATTACAGTTTAATGGAGACTATACTTACACCTGTGAAATTATATAAACAAACACTTTCACTTAGTATTAAATGCTGTGAAGGAAGTAGAAAAACGGAGTAGGCAGGCTGTCGCAGCTCTAAGGGTTATTAATATTCTGTGACATTTGAACATAAGCCCCATGACAGCTGAGTTGTCTGTTGTGTGCGTTGTTTTTCCAGTGCCTAGAACAGTGCAAAAGCGGCTCTCATCATTTACAAAGTAAACTGGTTTGTTGTTGAAGCGTGTTGTTCTTAACGAGGGTGACCATCCTGAACATTCTGCTTGGTGATGAGTTACAGCAGGACATCTCGGGGACTCGGGCTTTTTCAGATCTGCTGGCGCAGAAAATTCTGCTTGGCTGTTTCAGTCCTACCCTTCAGAACCCCGGGTGGGAGGCACCAATCTGGGGAGCAGTGGTAACATGGGTGAGTGTGGGGGGAGGTGACTGTCACCACACACAGTAACAGTGGCTGGACACAGGCCACTTCTGGACCCACCTATGTCTAAATGGGCCTTCATTGTGTTTTTAAAGCAAACTTTGTGGAGATGCAGCTCCGTGCTAGGGAAATCACACTTGTCTGGGCCTCACCCTACTGGGTCAGTTAGGGGTAGTGTGGAGTAGGGGGCAGAGGTATGTATATTGGTAGGTGTTTTTTAAAGTTCCCTAGGTGATAGTTCTTCCCCAAATAGAAACAATTGTAGGTCCTTGTTTTATGTATTAATATAAATAATAGAATATTTGTGTAAGTATAAATTACTAATATTTATATAGTTGCTTGTAGTCCAGTGCATTTTAAACACTTTTTTGAGTTGTAAGAACCGAGTTCACTTTATTTCTCCTTTCACATATATCACTGGCTTATTTAAAGTAATTTAAATAATCACTTACATAAAGTAAGTAATTTTTTGTCTAATGGTTGGAGCAACAGAGGAAAACCTAGATACTTCAAATAAACATTTCTGTGTTTGTGTCCTCTGGAGGTGACTTCTGGGTGAGAGTAGCAGTGAGAACCAGTTACTAAATTCTTAAATGTAGATTAAATTTTCATTGAAGAGTCTGAAATTTGGTTACAACAGGCCCCCATCACCTAACATAAAGGAGGGAATCATATTTTCATTTTGAAATATGGCAAAAAATGTTTCCTCTTTGCTCCATCGTGCTTCAGAACCTTCCCAGCTGTTGCCAGATGTCTTAAGCTCTGTTTAAGGGAAAACTGGAAACCATGAAGAGTTACACGAGCGTGCATCAGTGTGTCCTGGAGCATACCTCGCATCTCCGTCCTGGAAACGGAACACTTTCCGTTAGCTTTTAATATACCCAGGCAGATGCCCCCATTAGCCTGGAGTGTGATTGTACAGCAAACATAGGTCGTGGCTATGTCTGTACAGGAAGGAAAATGGAACTATTTAGAATCAAGCTAAGTGACTAAACTCTGCAGTTCTGAGCATTCTGACACTACCTTTAATCTTCAGGAACAGGGCTAAAGATAAAACATCTTTAGGTTAAATATTGCTTTTATTTTTTCATGTTGTCTTGAATGAGCCCGAGTACACAGGCTCATGAATGGAGGAACATTGCTGCAAAGCCTTAAGCTTAAAAATTTAATAGTTGAGTAATTCTTTGAGAACTTGCTATTTTCTATCATAAAAGTTTTCTAATGAAAGTTTCAAAAATTATAAAATTCTCAAAAGAGAAATCATTTTTTTTAAACTAGTGTTCAGAACCAGGTGGATGAAGTTATTGATGTCATGCAAGAAAATATTACAAAGGTAATTGAAAGAGGGGAGAGACTAGATGACCTACAGGACCAATCAGGTACAGACACTTCATTTGTTTCTCGATATTGTGAGTCAGTGTTGTGACAGTGTATTCTCTCATTTTTCTAGCCAAAGTTTAGGAATCTTGGCTTAGGAAAACAGTATTTGGTTCAGCTTATTTTAATGTCTTAATTTTGCTGCCTTTACTTGGAATCACCTTGTTGCTGCTTGAATTGCTCAGCTGAGAAAGGAAATTTATAGAAGTTCACTGTGAAGAGTCAGAGCTGTCACTCCTTACAATGACCTACACTGACGTGCCCTTAGCCCACAACCTCGGGGGAGGGCCGACGACGTCCTCAGCACGGGCCTGCTGGGGAGTCCGCTGCTGGACGTGTTCCCTGGCACGTATTAGGCACTTAGATGTTGTTGAAATGACAACTGGCCGATTACCTGGTCAATCCCTGACAGACTTGTTTAACCGAAAACCCAGATTTAACCAGTTTTGCTTCAAAATAAAGGCCCCTTAGGAATCTTGCAAGAATCTGACATTCTTCACATGTAAATTTCTCTTATGATGGTCAAGTATTTGAATTTTTAAAAGAGTATTTTCTTACCAGAATTCATAAATTTATGTGAAAGCTTTGAGACCCAGGGAAGACTCCTCTTAATCTCACTGTAAAAAAGGCTTGAGCAAACTCACCTGCATCTATTTTTTGCTGTGTGTATATGTGTGCGTGGTGTGTATGTGTGTGGTCTTGTTCTGTCTTAACAGTACAGACTGTTAGAGGGGGGGCAAAGGGCAGGGATGGTGGTGTTTCCATGCTTAAAAGGGAATACACTTGCGGAAGCGGAAATTAATATTTTCTCATGTGACTGATCAAAGAATCCTCTCCTGTGTCTGACCCCTCTCTCCACCCTGTGTAATCCAGAAAGCCTGTCGGATAACGCCGCCGCCTTCAGCAGCAGATCCAAGCAGCTTCGGAGGCAGATGTGGTGGCGTGGGTGCAAAGTGAGTACATGGAAGACCTGGGTCGGCTGCTCAGCATCTCGGGGGCCTCGGAGATGTGGGCGGTGGAGCCCCCGGTCCCAGGCTCTGAGGGCAGGAACTGCTGCCCCCCTTGCCTGCTCGTGGGCTGTGGTGGGACTCAGGAAATGCCTGCTGAACCACTCGTTAGCCTCTGGGTCGGGAGTAACTGATGGCATTGAGCTGTGCCTGACAGGCCCTTTCCATGGTTTTTTTCATAAAAGGTAATCCACATCTTACTAATAATTTAGTGACTTGTAGATGAATTTTTCTTATATTTTATTATTGACCTTCCTGGAGCAACCTATAGCATTACATAGATTAAAGAGATAGAATGGAAGCTAAAGAAAAATATAATTTTCTGTTGAAAGGGGAACAAAATAAAAGCAGTTTATATGTCGAAATCCATTATGGCAAATGGGGCTAAGAAAAACCATCCCACTGTATTTCATTATTCCAGAAGAGTAAGAAATAAGAGAGATTTTTAACGAGGAAAAGAGTAAGAATAGTTATATGCAAATGTATTCTTCCAAAACATTTTACAGAAATGAATTTACCTCTTAAATCAAATATAGCTACTGATCATTAAACAGAAAATGTTTAAGATTTTACAGCAAATCCCATGACCTGTATCAATTTTTTTCCTTCCTGATGTTGTGTGTTATTTGTTGAAAATCTTAGACATAAACTCATTTTTAATCTCTCATTTTCTAGTTTAGCAATAACCTTTCAACTTGGCTTTGCCCTGTACTAAGGATTTCTTCCTAGAGTTCTTTGGATCTGCTTATTTTTGTCTACCTGTTGAATCCTTTTACTTTCAGAAATAGAACTGCGGAAAGAAACATACTTCACTGCTCCCCTTGTCTAGGATTTACTTTTCTGTTTTAAATTCTTTATTCTTTTAGGAATAAATTTTCCATTTTCTTTTAAGTTTTCTGTTTCCCTAGGAACTTTCTATTCTGTAGGGTGATATGGAAGACTGTAGGTCCATGAGCCATTCACCTCCTCTCCCCAAGTACACACCCCATTCCTGTAGGCACAACAAGATCATCATAATGTGTGTTTTGCCAATAGTTCCTTTTAGCTGTATCTGAAGATTCTTATTTTGTACTCTCTGGAGCTCAGAGCAGATGAATAATATGCTTATAAGAGGAAAACATTTAATTACATTTTAAAATCATATGTGAATTGTATTTTTAAATTGTCTCTATCACCATTTTCTGGATTGACTTCAAAATGGTGATTTAGGAAAGGCTAAGAAAAGGGATTTAGGGTCAGAGGTTGCAGTGGCTAAGGGTAGTGAGGTGGAAATTGATGACGACAGGGCATGTAGGAACTTCTTGCAGTGATAAGGATGTCTTATATTTGACTGTAATAATGGTGGGTGACAACTATGTATTTGTCAAAACCCATCAAAGTGAACTTTAAGATGGCAAATATTATTCTGTATAGAATATACCTCAATAAACCTGACTAAAAATAAACAAGTGAACATCATCCAATGGCTGGGGAGGGAGAACCGTGACCTCTCTCGAGTACCTAGGGGACTTCAGGGCTCCTGCGTGCTTAACGATAAGCAGGTTTTTGGCCATGTCCTTGGAAGAAGGGTGCTTCGGACATGCATAAATTCACTACTTCCAGTTCTGGGGTGAACTTTTCCTGGCCAGTGTTAAAGATCCAAAGAAGAAATTATTTATGGAAGTATAATTGATATTTCCATTTAAATCTTCTAAATGTTACGCCTAGCACAAATGAACAGGGCAAATCAGTGTATGTTTTGCATAAAGCTGAAAAACAGATTCCATACTATTTTAGAGGTGTTTTTCAGGTTTAAAAAAGGGTGCAAAGCTTCCATATATTCTCCGGATCACTTTGTACATCAAATACTTTATCGTATAATGTGGACCCAGACACCTGCTGTGTCCATCTGAGCTGAGTCAGCTCCTACAGTTTTTGGTTAATCAAAATTAATCATTTTAATAGGCACCTGGTGTCCAAATTGCGGATCTCCCCTGTATTCCCTTGGTCTTGTCATGAGCAGAACAGCACCAAAATGCCACCAATCGTTCTGTTTCAGACACATTCTGTCGGCTACTTCTGGCTACTATTTGGGATACTTACAAGAAGGTTTCATGTATTTATAATAACTAGGTATCTTTTTTTCTGAATGGACTGCGTTTAATCATTTATCTGAAAAATGAAAACAAGACTTTCATTTCATCAGGAAAATCAAGTTAGTTTGTAATTTATGCCACTTCAGGATTAAATGAGGAATATGACAGTTAGACAATGTGAGCTTCCCGTATTAAGCAGCTAAGGACTAGCTTATCCTAAGATTTCTCCTCTCAGCTGTGAAACTAACACACAATGCTCTAAAGCAAGCTATGCGTTCAGTAAGGTTATTGATGAAGAGTTTAAATCATATTCCTCCAAATGGAGATTAAAATGCCAAGAAGTAAGTAAGGGGAGCAAAAACTAACGCATTCTCACCTACTTTGAGAGTAAGTGCTATAAAAACCACTGCCTTATACTGTATACTGAACCGTTTGTACTGGTACCTGTGTTATTACGTCCTGACACTGTTGAACAGAGTTGCTAAAATATCAAACTTTGCCTGGTCTTGTGTTAGAAATAAGCATGAGAATTAATAGAAAAAGCATCCAGGCCCATGAAGGCTTCGATTGTGACTGTGCACTGTGCACTACAGCCTTGAACAGTGCAGTTCAGGCACAGACCCTAAACTTGAGGAACTGATTATTTACAAAGAGATGCAAATAGCCAGCAAGTTCCTATGAGAAAAAACTGGGAAACCTTTCAAGGGGTGAGCCCGCTCACTGATGGGCTGAGTGTAACGGGATAAATAGCAGCTCGCGGTGTGGCCTTGGAGCAGGTCAGACAGGCGCTCTCGCTCTGTGTTGCAGATGAAGGCTTCCGTGGCTCTGGTAGCTGTGGTCCTCTCCCTAGTGATCATCAGTGAGTATCTGCCGGTTACTCATCCTGAGGGGCTGCTGGTTCCGGGGGCCACTGTCCCTTTTAAGTTCATTTTCAGTTGACCTCATATGGCTGTCAGGACTGAGTGATGACTTCTGATGTGACTCAGGAGCTGTAGCCTAGAATATGCAGGTCTCTGAAAATGCTCTTGAATTGTATGTAAAATGTCATGTGAATATGCTTCCGTACGTTTTTATGGGGAGAGCCTGCATCTTTTATCAGACTCTCAGAGAACTCCTGTGTGCCCCACCCCAAAGGCAGGACTGAGGAACTTGTTCTAGGCCGCATGTGGCCACTGTGACCTCAGGACCTGACACTGTCCTCTCTGTATGACCAACTGTGGGGTGGCAGCTTGCATCTCATAATACTGGGCTTGAAGGGTTGGTCCAGATAAATCCTCCAGGTGATGGCTTTTTATTTGGTTGGGGTTTGAGCTGGATTTCAGTCATTAAAGCATAACTCTTGCCCTTTTTTTCCCTAGTATTCTTTTTAAAGTCAGATCATTTTTAATTATCTTCTTTTCTCCAAGGCCTCTTTACTGATGTTTACAGGGAATTTATGAAGATTTGGGAAGTGTCTCAAAGTAACCATTTGAAAAATTCCGTGGTGACTAAAATGTTTGTTAAAAGGAATCGGGCTTGTCCTCATTTGTGGGTTCTGGTCTGCAAATTCCAACTTGAATCCCCCTGAAATCAGTACTGAGGTGCTTTAATCCCCATGGCAGATGCATTCCAAGCAGTGAAAAGTTCTGAGTCTCCTGGTGGCTAATGTCTCCTGAGGCCGTAGTCGGCCTCCTGGTTTGTGCTCATAGATAGTAAACAAGCGCCCTTCTGCATCTGCTTAGTGATGCATTTTTCTCATAGGTTTATGTATTTTTTGGTACTTCACTGTCTTAAGATGGCCCCCAGGTCAGCCCGACAAGCTGTCCAGTGTCGCCTAGTGTGGCCTGTGCAGGGCCTGGTGGAGTCGGGGTTGGATGAGCTCCGTTCAGGTAGAGTCAGTGCTGTGGCCAGGAGTTCAGTGTCAGGGAGCCAGCAGGACCTGTGAGACACATGGTGCTTAAGCAGACATGTCCGTGAAACACGGCCACACGTGGGTGGTTGACAGAAAATGCCACGGCCAGAGGCTCGCAGGATTTTGTGCCGTCCCTTTACGGAGCTGTGGGCTCGGCACTCACTGGCCTGCGCGTGGGGACGTCGCAGCACCATGCAGATGTGAAGGTCTGCCTGCCTAAGTATGCTGAGCACTTTGGGCATGTGGATAGGTAGCATCAGGGAGAAAACAAGATTCAAATGATCTCACCGCACAGAGAGCTGCTGTCAGTATAACTGTTACATGTGCTCCAAGTCTTTCCTATTTATGTTTTTAAAAGCTAAGATCAAATACATACTTTCTAATAAATACACTGTAAATATTTCTTTACCATTTCAAAAATATTGTAGCAGCCACTTGCTGTGGCATGCCATCATCTGTCTGCTCAGAGTGCTGGTGTTATGCATTCAGTCGGTCTTGTTGTCACTTCTCCAGTCCCAACATGAGTTGTCCTCAGCATGTTTCCAGAAGTGGACACGGCTACTTTGGGGAGTGTTGTTTCTGACGTAGTTCACGAGTCTGGTTTTGATACGTTCCTTCTCATTTTTTCTCTTGCAGTTCTTATAGTTGTGAGATACCGTATTTGACCCAGTGACAGATCCGCATTAAACAAAATCTGGGACAATAACAATAAGAGTGCTGCGTCATTTAAATGAGACCTATGTATATAGCTTTCAAAACTTTTACAAGAAACCACGAGGCAAGTGTCACTTCAAATTGGAGCGTTGAGAATGTCGTTACTTTGTCCCCTTCTAGCAAAACGTGCTTTTAAAGTTATGTGTAAGGCAATGCTAACCAGCCTCTAATTTGCCATATTCCAAGGATCTAATTTGAAACTAGGTACTTGCCACTGCATTGTTTGTGTATATAATTAAACACTAATATTCCATACTGTTGTTATAAGGACTTGTATTACTGCATCAAGGTGGGGTCAGGAGGCCCCTGTTGGTACCGGTCATTATGCTAAAAGCGATGCATACCCATCTCGTCAGTATTTGCAGGATGCTCCTCACATAGTGAGGGCCTTGCAGGCACTTCCCACACGTTTATGGGTGCAACTGACTGTTGTAAATGTTGCTGTCCTCACCTGTACCTAAAGGCATTCCAGTAGACCTATTTTTGACTGTGTAAAGGGACATGTAATTTTTTGGCATTTGGATCATGGAAACGGAAAATGTAAACAGTGTGAAAAGCATAAAATGACGCTGTCAAACTGAAGATAATAAAATTGGAGAATGTTGCTGATGTGTTTGAAAGTGAGCCACGTAGCTGCGAGTCTGGGTCCCGTCTGCTAAGTCAGCGTCCTGTAGAGGGGCCAGTCCGAGGTGAGTGGATGAGATCCACAGGGTAACCTGATCCCTGTCTCTGCTCTGGCTTCCCCCCTGAACTGCTCCCAGCCCTGCCGCAGAAGCGCTGAGAGCAGCAGAGCCGTCTGCTCAGAACGGCAGCTCTTACATCGCCGATCATCCCTGGGAGATGCCAGATGAGCCACCTATACTGGGTATACAAAGCCAGCAGCCTGGGGAATAGGAACCAAATGCTGGGCCACCTCAATCTTATCAGTAACTTGAAAATGTGCTGATCTCCCTGTATTGTTTAAACAAGTCAAAATGAAAGTACATCCTCTAAAGTATGTGAGTACCCGACTGGAGGCCTGTGGGTATCTTGGCTGTGTATGTAAGATGTGCATGTATGTGTGTGCGGAGAGAGAGCTCTAAACTTGAAATAGGGTCAATAGGAAATATCAGTATTTAACTAGGAAAGAATTATCCTGTAGAGGGTTTCTTTCTTTGGTCCTTTTCATTCAAAATGTATGAAACACAGAATGTTTTAATTTTATAGGATTAGTACTAAGAGGCAAAAACATTCTTCTTAGGAAAGGAATTTGAGTGGGAAGTTACAGAGATCTAAATATAATTGATAAATGTTGTAGTCTGCTAAGAATACTTAAAAAATGGCAGTCTTACATCCTAGGGAGTGTTGTCTCTTGATCTCTCCACTCTTAATGTAAATACTAAATCCTTTGGCAAAATGGGATACCCAGGAAAATGAGCATATTTAGCTCATATGGTCCAGAAATGGAAATGTCTCAGCTGAGCGGAATGTCCCCACTGTGTTTGTGTGTCCTTATACTTGGGATTGGAACTACACTCATCAGTGGTTAATTTTCCAAGTTGGGAGTGGAAATCAGGTTTCCCCACAACTGTCATGAAGATGAGAATTACTCCTCAAAAAGAATCCACATTTCCAGTGTTCCTTTTAATAAATTGTGCTACTTTTAAGTATAAAATTATTTTTAGAATTGACCCATAAAAAATAAAGGAAGTATTTATATGGTGATACTGTATATGTATCTGTGTTGAAACGTTGCTGCTTGAGAAGACGTGCTACTCTGTCAGAGCATCAGGCCGTGGCGGCTCGCTGCCTGGGTTTCCACTGCCTGTCCTCGCCACAGTCCTGAGGCCGCTGGGGCGTCTGCCACGCTTAGGACTTTGTCATGGAGACTCTGGAGACGTAAGCATCTGAAAGTCAAAGGCATGTTCAGATTGGTGCCAGGCCTCTTCCTCCTCGAATCCTTTTTCTTAAAGCTCAGTTCATCCTGCACTTGAAAAATGAAATGTTACCACCATCATTATTTAACAATGAAGATCAATAGAAAATTTATCAATAGAAAAATTGGTAGGCTGCTCATTACTATAGTCTTCTGTGCTGTCACTGCTTACAAAACGGTAACACTTTCATGGAAAAATTGGCATCTTTGAATTCTGTAGTCTTGTATCGTGGAAGGGATCATCACGTGCAGCCTGAGACACACATGCATGATGCCCCCTCCACACTGGTACCCATACTGACCCTTTCTGTCTGTTGTACATGACAGTTAGAAAATGGAGAAATTTGTTTCTTCATGTTGAGAGTGAATGTTTAAAAATGTCCTTAATTGTTTTGAGTTAGTGTCCGTAAGCCAGGGGCGCTGTTCCGTTAGTCTGACTCGGTTTCACATGGAACGTGACTGGATGCCGTTGTGCGTCCCTGCGAGTGGGGAGGTGACACGGATCGCTGTGCAGGCGTTTGCCAGGAGGCAGCGTGAAGACATGAGAGGGGCTGAAAGGTGTTCTGCTTCCCAGCCCGCCCCCTGTGCTTCATGTGGGAGACAAACGGTGCCACTCCTGAGACTGATGCGGGGCTGGGGCTTCTGTACGTTCGATGTGGTCTGACTCTGACTTTCTGGAAATCAAGAAGAAAAAGGGTAAGGACACAAACATGTATTCTGGCTCCTGTCCTATTCTGAGAAGCTGCTTAGAATGAGGAAGAATGAAAGGAAAGCAGGACCGACCCTGCGTCATGGAGGCCTGTGAAGGTGTGTGCTCCCTGTGCTCTGCGTGGCCCTCTGTGCTGGCAGGAGGGCAGAACCGAGAGCCGGCATGACAGGGCAGAGATCCCACAGCAGAGATGATGGCCTGGGCCAGCACAGAGCGGTGCTCTTCGATGATCAGGTGCAGGGAAATTCGGATTTTACTGTATTCCATTAGGTTCTCTCCATATGAGGTGGTCTTGAAATCAAATCATCTTAAGTATTTTAAGCCTTACAAAGTAAACTGCATACATCAGAGATTCTAGTTAAGATGTCAGAAGTCAGAGAGTTCAAACGCTTGATTTTATGGGTCCATGTCACTGTTTTGAGCTCCACACCCCTCTGATGAGCCATTCTGGTAAGTGCCTTTGGTGTTTTGAGATGTCTGGTGGGAGGGAGTTGAGCAAGTGTGCATGTTTGCTAGCTTCTCGATTCTTCGTGACCGTTTCACCAGTGTTGCCGAGTCCCATCCTTTGTGTTCATACCAGACGTGTATTTGCAGCCTCTCCGTAAGAAAGAGTGGAATAAACTATTTCACTGAAAACAACGTGGACACTTTGGCTTACTTGGTACACAGCACAGCTGGCCTGTTGCTGACACCCTGATGTGATCACCCAGCTTTCTGCCACAGAACATGGGAAAAACAGAGCAGGCGTCTATTGCCAAAAACTGTGCCCAGCACACGACGTAGTGACGAAATCTGGGGGATTTCTTGGTAGTTACTGGTCTCAGTTGTGGAGAAACCAGTGAAACACCCCTGCTTGCCTCAGTTGTCCTTGAAAGGGAAGAAGATGGGCCAGTTTCTCTTGGACGCAGATTCCCCAGAGGCCTGGCGCCCACCCCTCAGCTGCGTGGCCAAGATGCCCAGAGCAGTGTTGGTCCTCTGCACCCACTCACCACGTGATCTTCAAGCCCTTCAGCAGGTTTGTCGGGCTTGGCATGGGGGCCGCCACAGAGCATTTCACCCAGCCCAGCCGCCCCCACCAGGTCATGCCCCTCGCTGCCAAAGCCCGCACAGTGGGGCACTTTGGGCGGCCTTCCAGCGGCAGGTTGAAGGAGGTGCAGCCGAGGGAGGGCAGTGCGCTCGCCCAGGCTCTACCAGAGGGCCCCCGGGATGCACACGGGGCCCGCCCGCGGTCGGGAGGCCAGGGAACGTCCCAGAGCTGCCGTGGCGCCGTCTGCTGCTAGAGGCTGGCCTCTCCTCCCACCTGCAGCCTTGCTTCCTGCACAGCGACAGTCCTGGAGCCGAGCACCCCTGCTTGGCATCTCTAGTTCTTCGCTCCTGCTGACTTGGGGCCCTTCCATCCTCCCATTGACACATGGCAGTTGTGCGGCTGGCCCCTTCAGACAACTCATTCCTCACCTATAATTGGCAGGTTTGTCCTAATATCCCACCAAGGTCAACAAGGCATTTTTGTAGAACTCGGTCATAAAAGCATTATACACACTAGCCTGAGTAAGTTAACATTCAAGTTTTTTTAATACTTAGGAGAACAGGCCCAGGGGTGCAGCTGTTCCCTCTGGGAATCGCCCTCTTCCTGACCTGCATTTCCTGGAGCGGCATTTACAGGCCGAGTGGTGGTGGAAATGCTGCTCTTGCTGGCACCTGGGACCCAGGGGAAGTGTGGCTCAGAGGCGCCCTCAGGCCTCACAATGGCAGCCCGCTTCCCATATATGCATCCCCCCCTCCGTGCCGTGCTTCTGCGTCCCAGCTTCCAAACTTCCCACCGGCTAGGGGTCCTGGTGGTGAAACCGTCGGGGGATCTGCATCAGCCTCTCTGAAGCAAAGAGCAGGGAGCTGCCGCTCGTGACAGCAGGAGACAAGAGGGGACACCAGGCACTGTCCACCTGGGCACAGCGTTCACCAAGACAACACCTACATTTGCTAAGTACACGCACCAAACGTGTTTCTAGAATCACCAGAAAATACCCAACTACCAGTATCGTAATTGAGTTTCCAGTGGACACCATGCTTCTGTGAGGCTCCTGGTGGTATGGCCATGCAGGGGACGGGTTCGTCCTGAGGATGTGTGTGGCAGAGAGGGGGGACGGGTGACCCCATGGGGCTTCAGAGAATGATGTGAACTGGAAAGCTGACCAGCGCCTGGAAACAACAGAGCTTTATGGCCCTAGAGCGTGAACATGACTCAGTTACTCCCAGTCTCTGCAAAATGCACCAGGCCGGCGTGTTGCAGACATGCATGCATGGCTGAGGCAGCAGGACACGAGCCTGGCGTGACCCAGAAGTGTCCCTGGGCCCTCACCTCTCCCGGGTGAGGCCTGTGGCTACGCAGCCAGACTGCGGGAAGCCAGCGTCCCAGGGGAATTCATGACTGAAACCTCGGGCAGGAGCTTGTCCCAGCCTAGCAACCTCGTCTCCCCAACCTGGCGAAGGAAAACGGAGCCAGCGTGAGAACGTGCGAAGCGCCCCAGCGTGCGCCTTCCAGCTGCCCCATCCTCCCCCTTGCCTGCCCCTCCGGGGCCTCAGGACCTGGTGCTCTCCCGCCGTCCTGCCTTCTGAGGATCTTCCCCATCAGCACCCAAACATGTTCATCTCGCATACAAACCCTCTCCTTTCCTCACCACAAAACATGACTTCTTGGGAAAGCCACTGCCCGGGTCCCCGATTCCTTTCCTCCCTCTCTCCTCCAGCCCCAGCCCTCAGCCCCGGGGGCGCTGGGGAAGCAGATCACTCCCTGCCCCACAGCCCATCTCACCCTGACCACAGGCCTCCCCGCTCCCACCCCGGCTCCTTGGTGGTCCCCGGAGCTTGTCTTACCTTCCTAACCCTTAAGGGCAGAGCATCCACGGCCCAGCCCTCAGACCCCTTCTACACTCGTGCGTTTCCCCCTCGATCCCGTCTGGTTGCACTGTTTGTTCAAACACCATCGGTATGACGACAGTCCATCTGTCCCTCCAGTCCGGTGCTCTCCTGAACTCCACCAACTGCCCACCTGACACCCAGTTAACCAGGAAACCACACTGAGTCCAGGGCTGAGCTCCTGCTCGGGCTGTGCACCCCACCAACAGCCGTCTCCCTGTTCCTGCTCCCAGCGGGCCACCCCGCCTCCCTCAGAGCAGCAGGGGACAGCGCGGTGGGGCCTTCCTTGCCAACGGTCCCTCTTACCTCGGTGCCACGCACTCCTCTCACCCGCCACCACCTGCCCCCCAGCATGGACACACACTCTTCAGGCCAGGCCCGTGGCCCTCCTGTGCTCTGTCAGTGGGGAAGGAGCAGGGACTCTGGTCCAACCCCTGAAAGTGGGCCGGCACGTTGTAGCAGATGCTGGGTGCACAGCCAGTGCCCTTCCTTCCACGTGGGGCGCGCATCCCAGCTGCCAGGAGGGCCTGTGGCGATGGCCCTCAGCTGAGTCCCCCAATATTACCTTCCGCTGAGGGCAATGCTCAGGGGCACCCAGGCACAGTGCCTCACCCCCCCCGACTCCCGGCTCTGTCCAGCACTTCGCACTTACAGCCTGACCCTACCAGATGCTCTCTCACTTCAACTGCAGTCCTGGTAAATCCCCTTCCCCTCCAGTACACTATTCCCCCACTGGAGAGAAAGTGTTTCTTAAAATAATTCTTAAATTGGAGATGGAGTAAATTAGCAAGTCTTAACCAAACTTGACCACTTGCCAGTTTAACACATTCTGATGCCCCAGTTAGTGGGCTGTGAAGTCTGTTGTTAGGTGATTTCTATCAGTTTCAGTCTAAAAAACTCTCATCAAATTTCGGGGGGGGGGGAAGGAAGCAGAAAAAATTAAGGGGGAGTCACCTATAAAAATTCAAAGGACTTCTGTACTTAACATCTGTAAAAAACTAGCTTAGCAGACAGCTCAAAGCCAACAGCCCAGGCTTCATCTGGAGTGGAGAGAAACTAGACCTTAAATTGTATGAACTAAACACTTGAACGGAGTGGTCACGGCACCTGCACCTCCCGATCTCCATCCGACCAGCCACCAGCCACCAGGCCGCTTTCAGCCCCTTAACCCGGGTGAACTCTGCTCCTGCCCACTCTGCACCCTCCCTCCAGCCGAGGGCACGCTGGAGCTTTGCTTTCTCTGGTTTTACTGTGGAGACAAGCAAGTGCATTTCCACGGTGCCCCCGCCCTGCCATGCCCCCAGCACCATCCTTCTGTCTTGAAGCTCCACTGTTACGAAGAACAGAACACGCCCCGCTCCCCCACCAGGACAGTCCAAGGGGTAAGAGAATGTTCAGGTCACGTGGCCACACCCATGTCAGCTGCTATCTGGGTCAGCCCACTGTGTCGAGAGAACCAGACCAATCCAGAGAAGCCCCCACACGAATGTCCTGCTTCAACCAACTGGCCTTTGTCGCCGTTGTCTCCCATCCTAGATCCCAGCAGGCAAAGGGCCCAAGGGACCTGTGATGTCCAGTCAGCACACGAGCTGAGCAGCGCACGCCCAGTCCCTGCCAGCCACACAGCTCTGGGGCGTGTTCCTGCCTTACCCTCTGCATCAGCCCGGAGCGTGTTCCCATGACCTCAGATGGGAGAGCTTGGGTGTGGAGGTAGGGCTTACAGTACTCGGGTATTCTAAGTGTTGAAGAAGCATGGTGCTCATGAGCAAAGGCAGCACACAGCCCCTTGGTCTGGAACTGGGACTTAGTGCAATTAAAATGGAATCCCTCCTGATTTCTTTACCAACTGAGGTGACAGAACGAAGCCATTGTGATGGCCTGAGCAGGTGGTCACACTGTGAATGTGTCAGCACCAAGATCGACTTGGGGTCCTTCAGGTTCTGCCTGGGGCAGGTGAGACGTCCCTCCACACCGTGTGCTGCCGAGACTTCTCTGGCCCCCTTAGGCTGCTTTACACTAAGCGCAGCTGCCTTGGTAACGGCCACGTCTGACCCCGGGACAACCCTGCTTGCCCATGAGCTCTGTGCCTCCTCCGGGTTGGAAGCCACGTCCTTGGGGGCCTTTCTTCCCTGGGGCGCACTGCAGTCCTGGTCATGTTTTTGGTACATGACAGACTTTCGTTTCAGACTTTAGGAATGGATCCGCAGCTCCCGGGCTCATTATTTAGAGAATACTTTATTAGTTTCTGTAATCAAACCCATGTAGATAAGACCTTACATATTTAATACAGTGCATTTACCCCTGACCCCTGTACAAATGGAAAAAATTATGTTTAACATTTCTAGACCAATATGGCTGTTAATCTCTGTACAATGCGACCCAACACGGTACAACTGGGACACGTCTCCCAAGTGGACAGGCAGCCAGTTCCCCAAAATCCAAATTATACGTGTGTGTATATGTATATATATTTACTTATTTACTTATATAAAAAAGACCAATAGCAGTATGTTACGCATCAATAGCAGCAAAGCTTATCCAAGGCCCTGCAGTCGTCTGACCAGAACTAGACACATACAGCACACACTCCACCAAAAACAAAAGGTAAAAACCCCAAAGCCCCAGAAGACAGCCAAGCTGTGCCCCGTCCAGAAAGGAGAGCCGAGCGCACATCATTAGAACAACTTGGCCAGCAGGGTCACCCGTGGTCTCACCAAGCAAGCGCAGGCTTTGCGCTCACAGCCAACACACACGAGCAGACCCCCACGCAGGGGACCAGGGCGCACCGAAAGGCACCACTGGGCTTGGCCCTCTTCCCCAGCAGAGGGCCCACGGGACAGCTTGCGTCTGGTGGGGGGGCACCTCCTCCGATGGGCCCCTTCTGAGCGGCACAGCTGTGGGTGTTCACCGCTCTTCATTACTGCCAGCTAAAAACCGTTAAAAAAAAACAAACAAACCCAAGACAGAACAAAGACCACACCAACCACGGGATTCATACAAAGATGACTGGGTGGAGGTAAGCAACCCAGCCTGACCAGCACTTTCCCAACCTGCCGTGTCTGAGAGGCGGGAGCCCCGTGGAAGGCAGGAGTTGAGGGTCCCCTCAGCAGCACCAGCATCCTTCCGGATGGACGCACGGCGGGGCCCGCAGCCCCGCACCCTCCAGGAGCCGACCAGCACCGTGCTCCGACTGCAGCTGCTGTCGTCACGCAGCTGCCGCGGGAAAACGGGGCTCCTCCACCTTCAGGACCTCGCCCAGGCCGACTGCATCCAGGGAGCCTGAGGGCCAGGGCCACCACCCGCTCAGGCTGAGCTGCGCCTCGGCGCCTCTGCGGGGTCAGCTCCCTCCCTCCCTCCCTGCCTCCCTCCCACTTCTGGTATTTCTTCTAACGAAGAAGAACTCGAGTTCTAGGTTACAGGCTCTCAAGGAGCTAGCGCACATCTTACGTGGATGTGGATTGCAGGTGCGCGGCCATCAAGAGTGCGTGTCGTATCCAGCAGGTGCGGCAGCCGTGGGTCAGTGTGAGTGGCTCCTGCATCTGCGGGATGAGGTCAGAGGCCATCTGGCCTTGGGCTGCTGGCACTTCCTGCCTCGTTCTCCCTCCTTCCCCTCCCCTCCCCAAGTCCCTGCCCTGCAGTAAAGCACAGCCCCTAGGACTTTGTTTCTTCCGCCTTGATGGCCTGAGGTTTGATTGGTCCAGTTCTGACAGGTTTGGTGGCCACGCCTGGTGCAGGGGGTGGCTTCTCTTCTCCCTTCTCCTGACAGACACCTGGGGGGTCAGCCAGGGCTTCTGCAGGTTTACTGGAATCACTGTCCACCTTCTGGGCTTTGCCTCCTATCTGTTTGCTCTGCTGCTGTTCAGAGAAGAACCTCTGCGTGGACTGAAGAACCTCTGCTCTCTGTTTTGCCTTAAAAATGAGAAACGACAACTGAAACGCCAGCACAGCCTGTCCATCCACCAGCTCCAGTCCTTTCGCCAACCACAAATCACTTCCCCCACATCGGTTCGGTCGAAACCAAAAGAACTGCATGGATCTCTCAGCTTTTAATGGACAGATTTCTTCCTATCTGTAAAAACATCCCATGAGCTTTTTAAAGAGCATGAACAGGACCACCTCCCACCTTTTCAAAGTTTGCCCTCTTAAAAATGTAATGAAATAGAAATTGCTGTTGGTTTGCATTTTTTGGGGAATAAAACTTAGTGATAATATCTTATTTAGGGAGCCTGCTTGCAAATTTGTAAAAACATATTTAACACTTAAAATGTCTAGTCATCAATATGTGGTCTACAATAAAACGAAAAGGAAGCACTTATATCGTGGCATTACCAACACCTAGGACCAAATGTCTGGTGGCTGAGTCCTCTTCCCACAGCTCTCTTCTGCAGGGGAAGAGCATCAGAAGTTAGTAACTGCAACTCCACTTCATCACTAAGTTCTGATAGCTCCTACCACATTCTGAGTCGGTGAAATTACTTCCTAGTTTTACTGACTATGTGCCCCAAAGAACAAACATACTTACGTCAACCTGTAAGTTACACCACTGGGACACACACAGTTAATCTCCCGTTCCTACTACACCTTTCTCATGTAACAAAAGCCCCTCACGGTCTACAGGTGACCTGGACTCCCCAAAGATTGAAGCAATCCCCAAGAGATGGACACCCCTCCACCCCATTAAGCTCCAGGGCCATCCCAACATGGGAATGTACGAGTCAGGTGCCCAGGGGACAGGAAAGGACTGGAGACTGAGGCCAAAGATTCCCACACATACTAGTATCTTTAACAGTTATGAACAGATGGAAGCCCTAGGCACACAGCCTTAATAAAAGCAGATAGTATTTAACAGGAGTTTCACTGAAGGGTAGTCTTTAAATTTAAATTATTCTGGATCAGAAAGAAGGGATATCAACCCAGAAACTCTGGTTGGCCCACCAAATTCTCTAATAGGATGATCGATCATAAATTGTTTCTAACCAGAAAGCACTGCTGGGAATACCTCCCTATTTGAAAGCAGAGAGCTTTTCTGGGCTCGAGTCTGACCTGACACATCTGGTGATGACACAGGCAAAACCACTAAGACACCCCTTAAAGCCACGCCTGAGCAGGAGCAATGGCCCAGGCCCAGCTGCCGAATGGCAGATGGGCATGCAGGGCCGCCCCACGCAGACGCCTGAGGGTGCTCCCCCACACATGCCAGTGAGCCTCACACCTGCAGGCACCTCTTGCCACGGAGAACCCCAGGGCGCTTTCCCGAGCCCCTCGCCTGTCACCACACGACCTGTGCCGGCACAGTCCAAGGTGGCAGGCAAAAAAGGTATGGAAACAGTTTGAGAAGAAAACTATACTTGGATGACTCGTGAGGGAAGAAAAATCAAGATGTGTGACACGTCTAGCCCATTCCAGAGTCTCACATAACCATGATTTGTATCCTAAACATGGGGAT